GTCCTAAACAGGATATCTTACCTACAGTGTTCCTGGATGTTACGTTCTCTGATCAGATCTAAGGATAAACTCAAAAAGAACAGAAAAAGGTTTTGAGTGCCAGAAACTTACAGATCTTGGGAGACAGTAGAATTATCCTCCCACAACCAGGCATGATGTTCTTCACTGTAAGAGAGTCCAATCCAGTAAGAATAGGACATGGAGTTCATAAAATGCTGTTTGGAAACAAAGACCAACATATTAATCTATTTTGAATCTACTCTAGGGATCAGGTACTTTTAAGAAAGTCAGTGACTTTTAAGAAAGTCAGATTCAGTTTTTCAATTATACAAACTAAAATCATTTTTAACTTTTAATTTAGGAGGTATAGTCAAGCCACATGCCTCATAGTTCTCATTCATCAGGCCCATTCATTTATGGAGGAAAACGTACCACAAAATCTCACTTCTTGAAAGAATGAAAAACGTCATAAAGGGAATTAGAGCTTTCATGGAACACTTCCTTCACAGGGGATCAGCAATCAAATTTGATCCCAAACCAACAGTATCTTGAGGGATAAATCTTAGCACAGGTTCTGCATGGAGCTAGAGAAAATTTTCACTTTTTCTTAAGAGTTGGGTAATTGTTTTATAATATTCTTCATATTCATTCCAAGAGTGATAACAAAAGCTATATAATTACAAAAAAAATATAAATTCAATTAATGAACTAAAAATTCAAAGTCCTTTGAATAAAAATAATGATCTATTATTTATTCTTTGAATTCTCTCTAAAAAGTTTCTTGTACTTTATCTGTCACATTCCTATAATGTAAATCTTTGAGAAATTTTGTGTAGATTGTTTGACTGTTTCAAAGTGTAGGAAATTAGTTCAAATATAACTGCCTATTTACTATCTGATTAAAGACTTGAATCAAAGTATTCAGCTTACTTAGATAATATTTTCCTAGGTCAAAAAAATTGTAGAAAAATCAGAATTAAATACATGCCAGTTCATTTCTGTCTTGTATCTGAAGTAGACTGGAATTCTGAGAAACACAAAAATTTCTACTGTTTTCCATGTTTTTAATTCACTAGAAATGAAGTAACAGCTGCATTGGTAGCCAATCCACTTTTCTCGGCAAGAACAGCAGCCAGATCCTAAGAGAAAAAACAAAACGTGACTTGATGACATTGGAGATTCCGTTGTGTTCAGTGCTATTTACTCATTTGTTATTTAATGTTTTTCTACAACTATTCTTTGAGAATTTACTGCATACACCACAGTTCAGGGGATATTAATCTGAATGACTCAGACATGACCCTTCTTCCTCATGAAGATTATAGTCTAGAGATAGAGACAGAATTATACAAATTTCAGTCATTTATGAATTATATTTAATGATAATTTGTGTAAGTATACACAAGAAATTCAGTATGTAAAAATACTGTGTAGCAGAGTATAGGATGGGGGGCGGTTAGAAGAACCTCTTTTGAGGAAGTGACCCGAAGTTGATCTCTGCTGTGTAATTAAAAGTGAACTAGATAAAAGAGATATTTAAAGGAGGAAAGCATTTTAGCATATTTCCTGAGTCAGAAAATAATTCTGGATATTTTATTTCAAAATGAAGTTAATAAAGCACTTAGCTTGAAGTCTGACCATCCAGTTTACTAGTGATAGTGTCTTCAACATTTACCATCCTCAGTGATAAAAGTCATATTATGTGGTAGGCACTCAAATCTTTGTCAAATGAGTGGTGCTGAGATTGTAGAGTTGAATGGGCTACCAGGGGCTGGGATGTGGGGGAAATGGGGAGCTGTTGGTCAAAAGGTACGATCTTCCATTTAGAAGATGATTAAGTTTTAGGGATCTACTGTGCATCATTATAACTAGAGTTAACAGTACTGTATTATATACTTGGGAGAGTTGCTACAAGAGAGCTTCTTAAACATTCTCACCACAAAAAGACATGATAGTTGTGTGACATGATGGAGGTGTTAGTTAATGCTATGGTGGCAATAATATTGTAATAAGTGAATCATTGTACACTTTAAACTTCCACGATGTCATATGTCAATTATATCTCAATAAAGTTGGAAAAACGCTGAGGGAAAAAAGATATGAATGAAGTGCTATATGAACACAGAAGATGATGAGACATCATTTAGGAAAAGATATGTTTAAAAATATCTTTGAGCTGACGTTCACTGGTT